GCGGCCTTCGTGGCCTCAACAACCTCGGCAACACCTGCTTCATGAACAGCGCGCTCCAGTGCCTCAGCAACACGTACGAGCTGCAGCAGTACTTTGTCTCTGGCGTCTACCGCGAGGAGCTCAACACCGACAACCCGCTCGGCATGGGCGGTGCCATCGCTGAGGCGTTTGGCAACCTGATCAAGCAGCTGTGGGACGGCCAGGGCGGCTCGTTCTGGCCGCGCGAGTTCAAGCACGCGCTGGCCCGCTTCGCGCCGCAGTTCAGCGGCTACGCCCAGCACGACAGCCAGGAGCTGCTCGCCTTTCTTCTCGATGGTCTCCACGAGGACCTCAACAGGATCATCAAGAAGCCCTACATCGAGGCGCCCGATTGGGCCGGCGGCGGCGAAAAGGAGATGGTCGCCTTTGCCAAGAAGCAGTGGGACATCTACAAGGCGCGCAACGACTCGGTCATCGTCGACCTCTTCCAGGGCCAGTACCGCAGCACGCTCGTCTGCCCAGACTGCGAAAAGGTATCGATCAAGTTCGACCCGTTCATGTACCTCACCCTGCCCATCCCCAACAAGAAGAAGTGGCGCTGCTCGGTCTTCTTCGTCCCCCATGACCCGACCAAGCAGATCACCTCGCTCGAGGTGCAGCTGCCCGCCGGCGCCAACGTCGGACAGCTTAGGCAGAAGGTCGCCTCGCACTTTGGCGTCGCCACCAAGAGGGTGAGTGTCGGAGGCCGCGTCCGGAGATGGGTCTCTCCCTGCCTTCACCGAGACTCGTATCGCTAACGCCCCGTTGCTTTCTCGCTTCTCTTGTCCTGAAATCCCATACCTCGACCTCGTCCCGCAACCGCACCCGCACGCACAGCTCATCGCCGGCGAGGTGTGGTCGCGCCGCATCTTCAAGTGGGTCCAAGACTACGAGCCCGTTATCGACATCAAGTCCCAGGACTATATTTACTTCTGGGAGCTGCCCTCCGACTACTGCCCGCCCAAGCGTGTATTCAAGGGCTACCGCTACCACAGCACGCTGGCAGACGCCGAGGAAGGACTCGTCATCCCCGAGGAGGAGGCTGCCATCGTGCCCGTCTTCACCAGCATCGACTCCAGCAGCGCTGGAGCCAGCGGCAGCAGCGGCGCTTCTCGCGCCTTCATGAGCCGCAGGAACGACCACCGTGCCGCCGGCCTACCTTTCTTCGTCGCCGTGCCCAAGGACCAGGTCAACGATCCGGATGCCATCCAACGCATCGTGCTGGAGCAGTACAGGCGCTTTTCTCCGCACCCGGACCAAATCGATGCCAGCGCGGCAGCCGCATCGACCTCGAGCGGAGCAGCCGGCATGCAGGATTGGGAGCTGGTCGACGAGGCCACCAATGCACATGCGGCCTCGGACGCCGTCGTCGACGACGTCGTCGAGTCTCTGCCGGCGCCTTCGACTGCTGGCGTGGTCACCGAGATCCGCGAGGACGGCGTCGCCGTCGAGGTGCCGGACGTCCAGGCCGACGATGCGCCAGTCATGGTCGACCGGCCCAGCGAGCCGGCGGTGCAGCCGGTGCACAAGGCGTCGTCCAGGATGATCCAGTCGATCAAGTTCACGACGGTCACCGAGGCCGGCAACCCGTTCCCGAAGGGGGGCAACAACGACTCGACCGAGCACATGGCCGAAGACCTCGTCGAGCGGCTCGCGCGCCTTGCCCAGCAGGCGTCTTCGGCAGAGCCGTCGAAGGCCGTCAATGCCGACGCGACTTTCGAGGACGACATCGTCACGAACGCTCCGGAAGTCGACGAGCTTGCCTCGGACGCGGCGATGCCGTCGCCCCCCGCAACGCCAGAACCGCAGTCGGATCACGCCAAGGGCAAGGCCGAGGCGGTTGCGGTCCCTGCCGGCGGGCTTCCTCTGGTCTACACGTCCGGCGCCCTCATCTGCACCTGGACGGCCGAGGCGTTTGAGAGGTGCCTCTTCACCGCCGAGTCGAGCCACCAGTGGGGTCAGTATGCCGAGGCCGTCGACGACGAGATTGCCAAGGAGCGCAGCGCCGCCAGCAGCGGCGGGGCGGCCAACGCCAAGCCAAAGGCGCTCTCGATTGAGGATTGCATGGACGAGTTCACGCGCGAGGAGAAGCTGGGCGAGGACGACCCGTGGTACTGCCCGTCGTGCAAGGACTTCCGCCAGGCGACCAAGAAGTTTGACCTGTGGAAGGCGCCCGACATTCTCGTCGTGCACCTCAAGCGCTTCAGCGCTGGCCGGCACTCGCGGGACAAGCTCAACGTCAACGTCGATTTCCCGCTCGAGGGGCTCGACCTGAGCGAGCGCGTCGAGGGCGCCAAGGCGGCACGCCGGGTGCAGGCCGAGGCGGCCGAGTCGGGCGAGGAGCTGGGCGAGAGCATGTACGGCTCGGGCATCCTGCAGCCGGAGCAGGACAACGACGACGCGGTGGCCATCGACGCGCCCATCTACGACCTGTACGGCGTCGACAACCACTTTGGCGGCCTCGGCGGCGGCCATTACACGGCCTACGCCAAGAGCCCCGCCGACGGCAAGTGGTACGAGTTCGACGACTCGAGCGTGCGGCCCGTGCCCAACCCCGAGACGGTCAAGAGCTCGTCGGCCTACCTGCTCTTCTACCGGCGCCGGACGACGCGACCGATCGGCGGCAAGTCGAGGCAGAAGTTCCAGAAGGCGGTCAGCGAGAAGGAGGCGGCGGCAGCAGCGACGGCATCGGCGCCGTCGTCGGTGATGAACGATGCCGACGACGACGAGGCGACGGCGGAGGGTGCGCCGCGGGTCGGGTCCGGGCTGACTCTGGCGTCGACTGACGCCGACGAGGGCGACTCGGCGCAGCCGGCGGGCTGGCTGCCGTCCTTTGGACGGGGGGTAGGGTCGACGGATGTCGACGACGACGACTTTGACATGTTCAAGCCGACGGCGCCGAGCAGCGAGGAGGGTGCTGAGCCCGGCTCGCCGCGCAGCTCGCTGAGCAGTCTGGGTTCGCCCGACGTCGACTAGCTGGCTGGAGGAGATGTTGAACTCACGCAGCCGCTGCAGCAGGCAGGGGGGATGGAAGGGCTGGCGCGACGGACAGAGGTATCCATATAAAGCGTGTAGCATGGTCGATTGGTTGATGTGCAAGAACAAGCAAGCGGTGCATCCCCGATGCAGCAGTAGTCGGCTCCGTCCATCATGGTGGCACGTCGCCTGGTCTGAAGTCGTCGTGTGGGCGTAGCTGCGCCTCCCGACTGCGCGGATGCGATCGTCTGTCGGTTCTGCCAGGCCTGGTTGGCTGGCTGCGCTGCGCAGCGATCCCAAGAAGGGACCTTCTGACCGGCTTACACAAGCCATCGACTCATACACCTGCTGACCCCTCGGTCTGCGTATCGAAAGAGCTGGCGAGCAGGCTAGGCTGCGCTCGCAAGCGAGCAACCATGCAGGCATCCCGGCGGAAGCAGAGGTCGATCGATGGTCACCCCGCTCAAACCTTGTTTTCCACCCTGTGGCTGCCGCTGTATGCGAAACGTAGCGCAGGCAGGAGGGCAGCCGGGGCTAGTTGGAGGGCAGAGGGCAGAGGTCGAGACCGCTTCTGATCTGCTTTCACCCTCCGCTGCCCGCTGTGGATCTCGCGATCCGAACACATCAAACAGGCTCGGCCTTGGGCCCTGGCGAGGCGACAGAAGCCAGCCTGCCTGGCTTGGCCGAGCACGGCGGCGTGTGCGTGTGCGCGTGCGCGTGCGTGGCTGGCTAGACGAGCTCGACGGTCGACGACGCCGGACAACCTTTCGGCTCCGCTGACGACGCTCAGGCATGTAGACGTCGCGCTTCCGGTGCCCAGAACCGCGAACAGCGATGGACAGAGACCCTAGCCTTTTGCTCGTGGTACGTTCTGTTGCACCAAGCGCAGGCCGTCATGCCAGCGTCGAGGCTTGTGTGATCGAGTTGTGCGACCAAGGCAAGAGTGCAAGCTGCGACGGGGAGGGCCCGCCCGGCCCCACGCGATTCTATTTGGCCTGCCGTGTAGTTAGCATTTGTATTGGCCTCGACGCCGATTTTGTAGCGGCTGGGCTGGGCTGGGGTCGGGCCATCTGCTGAATCCGGAGGGTGCAGCTCGCTCGCCCACCGAGATGCATAGGCGAATCCGGAGGGCCCGGACGGACACACCGTACCGGACCGCATCTGCCTCGCCTGCATCGCTGGGCTTGGCTGCGTGGCCAATCCTGGCCTAGCCTGGCCCTCGTTGCATCACCTACCTCGCTCTTCGCACGGTCTCGCATGTGCCAGGCCCTAGGGTCCCGGTTGTCCTCCTCCACGCCCGCCCTCCCCGCTACGCAACGCCGCACGCCGTACTCTGTACTCACACCGCCGTCAACCACCACCGACTCCTCTTGGCTGTTTATTCAGATCAAGGCGGTCGGAACGTGCTCCGAGGCAGTCGGCCCGAGGGCCTTGGCTTGACTGGCGGGGCCAGTCGGCTGCCGAAGTTGCAATCGCTTCCCGCCCATTGTGCGACGAAGAGCGGCAGGCGAGGGCGCGGCGGGGCAGGGCAGGGCAGAGCAGGCTGCGCTGCGCTTCAGGAAGCGGCTGGCAACCGACAATCTGCGCCAACACTTGACGCCCCTGCCTGCCACGCCACGCTACTCTAGCCTACGCCACGGACCAGAACCAAGGCAGCGGATGATGCCGGTGACCGTACCGTCCTGTCACCACGATGGGGATGCAGAAGCCTGTGGTCGGGCGACGACGCCGGGCACGCACGGTGCGGTTGCGGTACGGTGTGGAATGGAGCGGTACAGTAGCGAGCCGGCTCGCAGCCAGAAGGGCGCACGCCTGCAGAGTTTACCACAAGAGATCGAGTCGAGCGCGCCCCTGCTTGCCAGACAGCAGGCCGGGTCTGGGCCGGTCGTCGGACTCCGCCGAACCTGCCGCTGCCGGTGAAGATCCCCAGCTGTCCCCTGGTGGGCAGCGCGAATCAGGCAAGGCAAAGGCCAGAGGCACGCAGCAGCAGCAGCAGCAGCAGCAGCAGCAGCAGCGCAGCTCGATGGACCCATCCTCGGCTCTGACCGACGCAGCGGAACGCCAGATCACACCTCGCATACGGCGATGCCGCACGCCCGGTCAACCCAATAATGATGATGCATGCTCGTACCCATGGCGCCCAGAACACAGGCGGGGCCGCCGATGCACGATGCGGAGAGAGCACAAGGCGATAGGTAAAGGCCTAGGGCCCCCAGGCCAACAGGCAGGCAGCACGTAACCCGTCAGGCCAAGGCCAAAGCAAGACGACCGAGCGGGAAGCACGAGAAGGGAAGAGTGTATGTATCTGTACCATTGCCAGACGAAGCAGAGAGAGGTCAGGAGGGGAACGTCGGCGATGCGGGGCACGAGCCCAGGGACCTGCTGCCTGCCCTGCCCTGCCCTGCCTCGGAACGAACAGATGACAGGAGGAAGCAGAAGAATTGGTCGAGATCGAGGAGGTGCATGGGAGGCCCCCGTGGATCTCGGGGCCTGCCCGCGTGCCTGGCCTGGCCGAGGTCTTCCTCGTCTCCCGTCCCCTCGCTCTTCTGCTACGGAAGCTGCCAGGTCCGGGCACTCCCGCCAGCAACAAGCAGGGCAGGAGCGGCGAGCCGACTGGCCGACTAACCAACGCACCGACCCAGCAAGGTTGAGGTTCTGGTCTGCTTCTGGTCCTCGCGTGCGGAGTCCGGCTACGCCCTTGGCCCTGCGCTGCGCCAACCTTCGCTGCTGCCCGTTCCTGCCTGGCCGGAGCCAGGCCGATGGTGGGCCCGGGATCGATTGAGCCCTTCCCTCCTGTGCTCCGCCTGGCGGCCAGTCCGCTCCTCCTGACCCTACCTGCTGCCCTCTCCGCCCTCGTCGTCGTGTGACGGCAGAGGTGCTGACGTCTTCTTCTCTCGCCCTTGATCGCCAGCCTGTCTACCACCACCTCACTCGTTCCCATCGACCACAAAGGGCCATCGGCCTCGCCACTTCATCCGCGTCCGCCCAGCCTGCTCCAACCGGCGGCGGCACCAACGTCTCCGTCTGTTCGGCAGCCACCCTGGCCGACTCGGAGGCACATTCACAAGCGTGGCGAGCGAGCAGGACGACAACACTCCTCACCGCCCCTATCCGAACTATCAGCACGCTCTCGTCCTGCCTCTGCCAACCTTCGGGAGCCGCAGTCTCGCATCCACTGCTCTTTGATTCAAGGGTGGCCATCAGAGCCATCTCGTAGCCAGGTCGAACATCGCTGCCGTGGGGGCCGCTAGCGCCTGCTTGTCAGGTCCTGCTCTGCTCACGCGTTTACGGACCGCCACAGGCGAAGTACAAAGCGCGGCGACGCTTCGGTAGCCTCCCGAACCTGGACGCTGCCATCTATCGGACGCTCCGCTCAGTACATCTGAACCCGAACGCCCATCTGTCACCCACGGCACCATACCGACTTCCATCTCTCGCTCGAATCGGCACCCGCACGCTCGACAAGAGCGACAGCCTTCGGACAAAAGCGTTCGCTGTACATCTCTGACCCGCGCTGGCCCCGAAGCCAGCCTCGATCCCCTCATCACCCTTCAGTAGCCCCATTTCTGGCCGCATCCGTTCAAATCTCACTTCTCGACGCCGTCCCGACCAGTCGACCACCCTCGACACCGTCTTTGTCGATTGTTTTCGACCCTTCCGCCTCCAGACGACTCAATTGCAGGTCGTCACGAGGCTTTCTTCCAGCGACCATCGACCTCTCACACTGCCAGTCGGCTCGCTACGGTGCCGTGGCGTCTGCGCTTCTCGGAAGCTATCCGATCCTCTGTGACATTCGCGCCTGCCCTCCCTTGCCAACGACCGGACTCTTCGGCTGCCGTCAAAGCGCCAACCCTCGGCATCGCGTCACCATTCCAACGGCTGCAAAAAGACGCTGCTCGGCAGAGCCGACACTCGCGACGCCATCTACGCTGCAGCATCGCGGTACCAGTGCCGTCGCAAGCTCGAATCTTTTGCTTGCCGCCAGACGCCTGCACTTCCAAGGTCGGAGTCGGGAATAGCCTTCGCTTATCTCTTCCGGACCTTCCGACGCACCATCTTGTCCGGAGCTCGCTCGTTCGTCGCCCATCGGCGGCGCCGGACAACCTCAGCCTCCTTTGGTCCCGCCAGAGCGGGACCTGACTCCCCTCGGCCGAAGGGCAAAGCGATAGAATCTTAGGTCTCGCCTGATCGCCTGAAGTGGCCGGCGATACAGACGCAGCCAGCATCGAACCCAGGCCGGCCTTTCCCTCTGCCTCGGTCGCCACAAGAGACGTCGCGCGACTGGAGAGCACGGGTCTCTTGCCTAGCCACTGGCATCAAAAGGCTTTTTGCGAGACCAGAACAGGGACTACACAGGGATGACCCGCCCGAAGCCGCGATCCAGTCGGCCTGGTCTTCCTTTGCCGTCCAGTGGGGGCCATGAGGAAAAGTCAGGGACAGGAGGTCGTCGCCGAGAGTCTCGCGATGGCGACGAGCTCGCAGAGGATGTCACGGCGGTTGATGGAATGGTGCCAGCACGACCAGGCAGAGCGATAGACGGATCGCACGTGCCAGAGCACAAGGGTCACGAAAGCACGGACGGGCCGTCGCATGCACTATCAGACGGACACAAGGGCATGCCGTCGATGCCGACGTCGAGCTACGCGGATTCTCAATCGTCTTCGATGGGAGACGATCGGGACGAGGACGGTCTCGATGAGGACGGCGACACCTCCGTCACGGGCGCAGAAGGTCGACGCACGTCAATCAGCCACCAGCCTCCCCGAGGCAGCCGCAAATCAGCTCGTCCGGGTCAAACAGGCGCGGATGGCCACTTTGCAGGGACGGCGCAGGTGGCGCCACCGCCGCGGCTCGAAAATCTGCCGCTTCCAGGGACGAATCCAGAGTGAGTGCTGTCGTCTCAGCCTAGGCGTCTTGGTCTTGACCCTGGCTCTGGGGCCGGTATCGGTCTTAGTCTGGACAAGGTCTGCCGGCTGCCTCCCTGGAGGGCGAATCGCATCGTGCTCATCGTCTTGCCTTGCGCTGCGTCATGGCATCCCACAGGCAAAGCCGCTTCGTCCTGACGGTGCGACAACACCCCAAGCAAGGGCGGCAGTGCGGCTTCGGTGTCAAGGACAAGCGCCCCCTCGACCCGTTGCCAATCGTCCAGCTGCAAGTCTATCGGAAGGACAAGAGCATCGATGAAGAGTGAGTGCGAGATCCGCAGCGGCCCTCGAACCAAGGTGTCGCCCTGACCGCTCTTCACCTTGACTCGTTTGCTACCGCCACTACCGCATCATCGCCGGTGCATCTCCTCAGAGCGTCCAACAGCCCCAACCTGCTCATGCAAGTCTCGCTGCAGCGCGTCGATGTAGCGACGGGCAACCTCCAGGAAACGACCCTGGTGGGCCAGCCCTCGGACACGTCATTTCCGTGGACGCGCATGCTCGAGGGACGGCTAGCTGCCAGCGCCCATGTCGTGCGCGACCTCGACGGCAGTCGCGCCTGCTTTTTCGTCTTCACCGACTTGAGCGTGCGTCTCGAGGGTCACTTCCGCCTGCACTTCCAGCTGCTTCTGCTCGGTCCGCCTTCGATGGTCAGCAACGGCGACGGCGCTGGTGGGGGCGGAGGAGGAGGCGGTGGGACGGGCAGCAACGTGGTGGCCGAGATCCAGTCGGATATCTTCACCATCTACAGCCCGCGACGCTTCCCCGGCATGACGGAGAGCACCGAGCTCGCAAAGTCGCTCGCCAGGCAGGGCGTGCAGATCCCGATCCGCAACGACGTCCGGCGCAAGCAGGAGTAGCGGTGCATCGGCAGCGAGCAGCCTTTGCCTTTGCCCGCCGCCCAGCGCGCAGCGCGCAGCGCCCAGCGCGATCCATTGCATCCCACCGGCATCTCGACATCTGCCCCCAAAGCTCGAACACCCAGGATACCCGCCCGTTACCTTGCCGACCCACGATATCCCCCCTCCCTTCTCCCTCGACACCTTCGGATCGACGATGGCAGAACAAACACACCCAACCTGGCCATGCCAGGCCTAGCCGGGCCCGAGAGGGGAAACAAATCACCAAGAAGTGCCCTGGACGGTACCAGATCCAACGTCTACGTCAACGTCTAGCTAGGCAGGCGGACAACCGTTCCCGACCTCGACCGATTAAAGAGCTCCAGTAAGCAACGGGAAACCACGGGGGAAAACAAGACGGAATCACCAAGAGAGACAGAGAATACAACATTATGAGAAAGGGGTGGTGTCGGCGCGAGAGAGAGGGGGGGGGGAGAGGGAGCGTATAGGCCGTCGATCGCAGAGAGAGGGAAGAGCGACGCGTCCGAGGTATTATCGAATCGAGTCGGCAGGTCGAGGCGAGGTGAGGCGAGAGTTGGGCCAGGCTAGGCAGGGCCATACTAGGCAAGACGAGGTGAGGACTGAGCCGAGACGCTTGCCGTTGGTCTCGAGACCGAGACCGAGCAGCGGACTCTGGCAATGCTGCAACGGCCGCGAGACGCGGCTTTGACGTCGTCAGTCGGCGGCCTGGCCGGGCGGGAGCAGGAGTCCTGCACCTTGGCGGGCGAGGTGTCGAGTCAGGTCCGTCAGGTCTGCAAGACGGACGGCGAGCGGGCGACAGGGAGCAGGGCGCGTCGCGTCAGTAGGCATTTCGATGACGGGCAGCGATGTGTGGGAGCAGGCGGCGATCTGACGAGGCAAACTCACGGGGCGCGACGTAGTCGGAGGAAGGCACGACGTCAAAGGGCTCGGTGAGGACCTCTGCCAGCGCGCCCATCGGCGCTGGCGAGCTTCCGGGACTGTTTCGTGGTGCCAGAGTCAGGTCGAGGATCGGCGTCGTCAGCCCGACATGGCCACGACCTGTTACGAGCAGGGATCGCTCGCACAGAAGCAGGCAGGGATCGACTCACATCGGCAGCCGGATCAAGAAACACCGAAGCCGGAACCGCCCCGCGGCCCGTATGCTGATCTCGGGAAAGAGGAGGTAGAGCCTCTCTGCACCCTCGGGCGAGTCGTAGGGGATCGGGTTGGCGGCCAGGGTGCCATACAACATGCGCGCGGGTGGCGACACCTCCTGCAGCGGCGAGGCCGAGGGCGGCCTGGAGACCTGCCAAGGGCCACGACCAGGGGGGATAGGG